GGGGCGTGCAGGAGGCAGCCGATCCATGATTCTCTCTCATTGATGCTTCTCTCTCTCCCTCTCCCTTCCTCTCTGAAATCAATAAAAACGTATTTAAAAAAAACACCAACAAGCAGAGAGAAAACAGCAGTCCCTGCCCACCTGCCACCAGCTGGGCCACCGCTTAACCGCAACTCCTGTCAGGTCTCTCACAATCGTCTACATTGCAAAGTGTTTTTAGGGATTTTCTCTTGAGAGCTCACAGCTGCCGGGAGCACACAGCTCTCAGCGGATTTCCCCCGCAGCTCCCTCTGCTGCGTGCGGAGGCAGCATGCTCCCGGCCTCCGACCCCCACCCCCTCCCCGCAGCCACGCTCACAAAGGGGCGCCTTGTGCGTCCACAACAGAGCCCCATTGTCGCTGCCAATTATTTCAAGGCCCGAAGCAATGCCAGCTTGTCCAAGCGCAGCTCCGTGTCACCCGTCACACTATGTATCGCTATGCACGAGGACGGGAGAGAACGCTGAGCCATGAAATCCGCTGAAATAATTTCTGGCTCAACTGTCATTTCAAACAAGCCGTTGCAGGGACTGCAGTGGGTCACTATTATTTGCTGCTGGAATGAGAACCAAGTGTGATCATGTTCTGTTCACTGATGATGTTAAACGAGTCCGTCTTTCATTCCGTCGGCATTTCCCTGACAGGAACAGTGTGGCCCCAGGCTGGGCTCCTCCATCTCCGCATTCCTGAGATTGGTGACAGTAATTCTCTGTTGTCGGGGACTGTCCTGAGCCCATAGGATGTTCAACAGTATCTGGGCCTCTCCCATTCCATGCCAGCAGTACCCCCCGCCCTCGCCACGTGTGACAACAAAAATGTCTCCAGGCATCGTCACGCATCTTCTGGGGGCACAATCGCCCCCAGGGGTGACCTGCTAAGCAGGAGACGAGGATTGAACGATGAACAAGACCAAGTTCTTCCCCATGGAGCTCCCGTTCGGGTCGGGAGGGGAACAATCAAAATAAACATCGACCCTCAGACAATAACACAGCCGGTGAGAGAAACGAGGCGGCCAGGGCTCGAGTGTGATGCAGGGAGGGGAGGCGTGATCCTGATGGAGGGCGGGGCCTGCGCGGTGACCGTGCACTGAGCTGAGCGAGGGAGAGCGGTGGCTACTGGCGCTTTCCGGGCCTTACGCGCGGGGGTCAGAAGTTTCCTAGTTTATTCTCGATTCTCAATTCGCTGGAGGATTTGTGTCAGGGGAGGGATGATAGAATTCAAAACACATTAAAAGGATCTCTGGCACCTGGCCAGTGTGGCTCAGTGGTTGGGTGTCGACCTATGAACCAGGAGGTCTGGGTTCGGGGCACATGCCTAGATTTTGGCTCAATCCCCAGTAGGGAGTGTGCAGGAGGCAGCCGATCAGTGAGTCTCTCTCATCATTGATCATTGGTGTTTCTATCTCTCTCTCCCTCTCCCTTCCTCTCTGAAATCAATAAAAATAAACATAAAAATTTAAACAAGGATCTCCGCCTACGGGGTGGAAAGGACTGCCCAGGGCAGGAGAGAGCCTGGAGCCCAGCGGGGGAGCTATTACAGCAGACACCGCTGGGCTGGGCGCTGGGCTGGAGGGCCTCAGTGGGAAAGGTGAAGGGTCAGTCAGGTCAGAGGGGGTAAAATTCAAGGTCAGCTTAGAGGTAGATTTCACAGAAATCGTTCACTGGACTTGCTGACGTGGATTTGCAATAGGAAAAAGGGAGTTTGCCTGCGTGTTTGCCCTGAGTCACTAGTGATAAAGGGCACCGTGATTTTTAATTTGGGGTGACCAATTCAACACGCGTCCAATCAGCAAGACGGGGTGTCTTTCCACTCCGCTTCCTCCCAGTTCAGAGCGGAGAGCGGAGTCTACCCGGGGCTGGGTGTCTGCCAGGCGGCGGTGGGAGACAGATGGATGGGAGCTGGGAATCCCCTGCTCAGCGGCTCCCGAGACAGACCAAGGCCTCGCAGAGATCACGGGACCCGGATCAGTGAAGCTCTCGTCCGCTGAGTTCACTCAGGTGCACATCTACTGACTATAAATCTAACTACAGAGACTATGAAGGCAGGACATTTTAAAGGCGGGAGATACGAGGAGACATCACCCAAGATGGAAGGCAAGCACCGGGGTGGGTCTGCCTACGCTCTCAACCGTCGTCTCGTTCTCGGGCAGCCGTGCGCCTGTTCGTTCTAGATTTTCAGGACACAGGCGCCTCAGATGCAAAACACGCATCTGATCTCTAATTGGATTATTTTAAGGAAGATCCTTCCAAAAGGTGAGCTATTCCTTAAGCTCGTCAACAGAGCGCCTATAACGAGTGATGCAGAAGTCGATCCAGCGAATTCCTCAGGTAAAGATGAGAATGTCTTACGGGGTCGCCATTGTCTGAAAACATGGCCTCCATGCGCCGTGTTAGCGTAGTACATCTTACCCAGCGCCTGCGTCAAGCTATCGGCCTACACAGGGCCGCTGCAATGATTGCTCATCATCACTACAGGGCAGGCTCGGGGGCCAACGCTCTCCCTGGCTTCAGGGGTCTCATGGGAGAGATGGAGAATTTGGCAGATGGCCTCATGGTACCGGGAGGTGCATGCTGGGTGGCGATCCGGTCAAGGGATGCCTGTATACAGGAGGGAGGCCGGCAGGACGTGGCGGAGGGGTGTGCAGAGGGAGGAAGTTGGGTTTTCGTGAAGGAAGTACCTCCAGCATGACAAGTCGGCCGTGGCCAGGTGAGTGGTGTGTGTCCCGGGCAGAGACAGCGGGAAGCGGGCGGGACACAATTAAGAGGCACGCACCTTACAGCCAAGTCTCTCTGTGACGGAGTCAGGTCCTCGTCCTTCCGGAACATCCCTGGGAAACAGAGACAGGCTCTCTCATCAACTGTGACTTCTCCAAAGAAAAGAACGGCGTGTTTCCCCTTCACACTCTCATCACTTTTCACATTCGGAATGCACGCTACAATCCCAGCCGTGGTATAATCGCCCATGGCAACACACGCTCCAGCCTGCCAACGGCCCATGGCGGATCCCAGCGTGTCCAGGGCTGTATGAGGTGAACGCACACATCAGGGAACTAACCTGACTCTTCTTTAGAGAAGATCATTACTAAGTGAAGAAATCCCCCAGAGCTAACAGGTTCCTAGCAAGTGCGATGACCTGTCAGAAGGGGCGTGAAAATGTTTCTGTCGTTGGATGGCTTACATGGCCGACGTCAGCGCTACGGGAGGAATGACTTCCTCGCCCCCACATGACTCTGACGAAAGAGATGAGTCTCCCGCTTACCTTCCCCCCAAACAGAAGGATGTTGTTATGATTACACGCCAACCTACTGGATCCTAAACCCAATTTAAAGGCCAAAGGAGGACTAAATTAAGAGGCAAACAACACTTTTTAAAAATGTGTAGCCTGGGGCAGGTGTGGCTCAGTGTTTGAGCGTCGACCTATGAACCAGGAGGTCACGGTTCGATTCCCGGTCAGGGCACAGGCCCGGGTTGCAGGATCCATCCCAGTGTGGGGCGTGCAGGAGGCAGCCGATCCAGGATTCTCTCTCATCATTGATGTTTCTCTCTCTCTCCCTCTCCCTTCCTCTCTGAAATCAATAAAAATATATTTTAAAAAAACATATATTGATAGGTCTTCCCCAGCAGGGGCGCAGGATAGGTGACACACACAGTGGGGTTAACACCCACCTGTGAACTTACAAGTTCTTATACTAAGAACACGTGTGTGTGAGTATAAGGGAGAGAGGGCAGGGGGAAAACATTCAAATTTTAATACAAATGTAGCACAGAGGGGAAGCAGAAATGAATAAAACTTTATTTAGACCAAATATCTATTTGCTTTATATTCTAAATTGCCACTAATGTGGGTCATATGACGGACTCACACTACTTTACTTTGCTTTTGTCACTGAACTGAAGGCAAAATTAAGATAAAATGCTGAAAGAGAACATGCTGACTTTAATAACCGTAGGCAGAGTTCAGGATTTGTTTTCCCTGCCTTACCGCCAGCCCTTTCTAATCAAGAGCAGAAAGTGATGGTCGTATCTCAAGCAAGAGATGAACTGAATATGACGTCTTCCAGGGATGGAAAGTGAATTTCTAATTCTTACCGTCATGAATCTCATAGGCCAAGCTCGTGATCTTCTGGGTCATTATCATCATCGGGCTGTGACAAAATAAAGAATAAATACGTTAAAAGGGCATATTTAAAATAATAGTTACGACATAGGAAAAGGGGTTTATTTTGCTTATACGACTATGAAATCGTGTATGTTTTTTTTAACATCAATAAAGACCTTCGGGGAGAGAAGTGGGGGCTGCTGTGTTTGGGGAGGTTCCGGAGACGGGAACCTGGGCCTCGATTTACAGAGCGAACAGGACAAGCTCGTCCACGGAACCAGGTCACGTGGGAGCAGGGCTGCAGCCGCAATCACATGGGAGTCACGGGGAGCAGGGCCACTGTGCCTGAGGACGGGAGGCCAGCGGGAGAGGACCGCACAGGCCTGAGACCGCCCGCCACCTGGCCTTGACCGAGCCCTTTCTCAGAATCCCAGCTGCCTGTCGCCTCGGGGGTATGCCTCCAGGTGGAAAGGGAGTTGCTGGGAGAAGCGGAGTGGGCACCACATTGAAGGAGTTTGGGCAAGAAACGCAGAATAAAACAGGATGGAAACAGGGGAGAGAGAAGGATGCTGCCCACCTCCCCGTCCTGGGAGCCAGGCCCCAGGGGGTGGCCCGTCAAAGACGCCCCAGAGACAGCTCGGGGCCCGGGCGCTCTCGCAGGGAAGGAAGACTTGAACATCACGCTGCCAGTAGGACAATGGCTCTATTTCCCCCATTTCCCCGTCTCTAACGGAATGGAGAACTTGGGAAGGAAAGAGAAGTCTACATGGGAAAGCCAGCAGGATCCGTTTGGCCCTGCAGCTGTCACGCTGCAGCCAGGCAGAAGACCCGAGAACAAGTCGCCACGGCTTGTGTATTCCTCGTTTTGGGATTTCAGTCACACCAGGAAGCCCTGTGGGCTGCAGGTAGGACGCGGGCCGCCCCCTGCAGGTCCCGGGAAGGACCCCAGCCCTCCCCTCCTCTACCCGCCCCCTGCTCGGACCGGAGACTGGTCAGCGGCCACTGTCCACCGGGACACTTGGTCCCTGCCAGCAGGTCCTGGAAACCTGGCTCCTGATGTTTGGTTCTGCCCAAAACGTCCATGAAGATGTGGTCCACGCTGACCCGACTACCTGGCCCACCTCCCTAACGCCAGAGGCATGACCGCCAGGCTGGAGGGGAGGCTTCTGACGGCAATGCAGCCACGCACAGCTGCTGGACCAGTGACACGATGCGACTTTGTTACGTGTCAATCCTGTGCACCACAAAGTAGAAATAAACATCACGGCTGTCTGAACCCAACGATGCTTTCCAAGTATGGACGTTTCAGACAGGACCAACGATCCACTAACCCCTTAAACACGCGGAGAAGCCCGGCCCCTGTGGCTCAGCAGCTGAGCGTTTACCCAGGAGCCAAGAGGTCGCCGGTTCGATTCCCAGTCAGGGCACAGGCCTGGGTTGTGGGCTCCATCCCCCAGTGGGGGGGCGTGCAGGAGGCAGCCCATCCATGATTCTCTCTCTTCATTGATGTTTCTCTCTCTCTCTCCCTCTCCCTTCCTCACTGAAATCAATAAAAAATGTAAAAATAACTAACTAAATAAAATATCCTTCAGTTCTAACTTCTAATTCCCATGTCACCTTAAAACACAATAAAAACAACTGATAAAATAGCATTCCATTTATTTTATCAGCTGAGTGACATACTTCCCTGCTAGGTGCCACATGCAGGGCGGGCAGAAGGAGGGTGAGAGCTGCTTGTAAGAAAATAATACAAGACTTTCTAGATGGCAACACAGGGATCAACTCTGTGCCTCTCGCACTCACAGCTGTAACCCTCCTGCTCCTCCCTCGCCCGGGCCAGAGGTTCCGACACGCAGCCTGTGCTCCGAGCGCACGCCCTCTGCCCGCGGGCACCGCCCCGCGTCTCATCTCATCCTTCCAAGGACTCTCACAGCCACCGCCTTTTCATTTCTCAAACGACACGGCTGCTTTAGGGTCTGTTTTTCCTCTTTGGAACGTCTGTGAGGTAAGGAACTAACAGTCTTTTCCGCCGGCGCCCAGCACCGCGCCCGGCACAGAGACGCACTAGATCAACACCTCTCGATGGCGGGTAAACCGCGTCTCCTCGGCGTCACGACCTGCCATTCCTCCTGACACGGGCCGCACCCCCTCCTGCCCTGTCCTCTGGCCTGAAAGCGCTCCCCACTCAGCCCCGGAATGATCTGTCCACGTCCCGGGCGCCCCAGGAAGCGCGAGGGGGGGGGCTCGCGGTGCGGACGGGGTGCAACCAGCTCACCCCTCTTTCCTCTCGGGGGCCCAGCAGCCCTGAACACTCCCTGCGGCTCTCGATGAGCGGCAGGCCACGGGGCAGCCGGGGGCCGGGGCGGGAGCATAAACACTGCGGACAGGTTCTAGGGAGGGGCTGCGAGGAGCAGGCGGCAGATAGAGGCAAGAAGCGCTGGAGGGGACGTCAGCGAGGGGGTGTGGTGAGTGGGTGCCCAGGAAGGTCCCCCGAGGGGACTGGACAGAGCC